CCCCTCTCCCCGCCCCGCCCTGAACACCTCCCACTCGCGCCAGGCCTGGCCAACTCCGCATGGGCCCTCGGCCGCCTGCGCTACGCGGGCCCCAGCCGCGAGCTGCCCGCGCTCATCGCGGCGGCGGCCAAGGCCAAGCTTGGGGAGTTCTGCGCCCAAAACATCGCAAACACACTGTGAGCCGACGCGGCGCCGCGCGCCCTTGTTGGCTGCCATCGCCTGCAAAGCCACTCCGCCACACAGGGCGCGCCTGTCTGCACCCCTTGCCCGGCGAGCCTCGCGGGCGGCGTCGGCGCATCCCTCTTTTCCTGCTCCCATGCTTCCCCGCACCACACCGCCTTGCCTCTGAAGGCTCATCATCCCTCACAGCCCTCCCCGCGGCAAACCTTGTTCCGCAACCTACCCCCCACCTACCCCCCCGCCCCCCAGCTGGGCCCTGGTGTACATGCACCACCGCAGCGAGCCCCTGCTGCGCGCCGCCGCCGCCGCGGCCGCCTCCAAGGCGTCCGACTTCAAGCCCCAGGAGCTGGCTAATCTGGTGTGGGCGTACGCGAGCATGGAGTACCGGGACGACAAGATGCTGGCCGCCGTGGCGCGGCAGGCGCACTCGCTCGCGGAGCAGGTGTGTGTGCGCATTGGGGGGAGGGGCAGGGGCCGCGCCGCCGCCCTTGTCTGGTCGCGCGCCGCTCCTGTCTTGTGGCGGCAGCCGGCTGCGCGGGTCGTTTCGGGAGCAATGGAAACACTTTCGAGGGCGGCTGGCAAGCGAAATTTTGACAGCCGCCATCGACGCTCATACTCGCCTGCCTGCCCGCCTGCCTTCCCGCCTCTCCGCCCCCAGTTCAACGAGCAGGAGCTGTCCAACCTGATCTGGGGGCTGGGCAAGCTGCGCTACGGCGACCCTGCGCTGTTCAGCCACCTGCTGCGATGCGTCGCGTCAAAGCTGCACGCCTTCACGCCCCAGGTGCGCGCCCGCGCGCCCCCAACTCTCCCCGCCGAACCGCGGCGCTCGCTCGCCCGCCTGCCGCTGCAGTTGCTGCTGCTGCCGCTGCTGCTGCCGCTGCTGCTGCCGCTGCTGCCTGTGTCTGCCTGCTTGTCGCAAGCCGAAACACAGACGCCCCGTCGCCGCCGCGACCGCCGCCGCCGCCGCCGCCTGCAGGGCATCGCCAACGTGGCCTGGGGCATCGCCACCGCGGGCCACCGGGACGAGCCCCTCTTCAGGCGCCTGCTGTCAAAGTGCGTCCGGGAGCTGCCCGCGAACGACGTGCAGGGGTTGGCAAACCTGATGTGGGCGGCGGGGGCTCTGGGCGTGAGGGACGAGGCGTTCATGGCCGCGGCCGTCGGCGAGTGCTGCCGGCGCGCCGACGACCTCAGCCCGCAGCAGGTGGGTGTTCTTGTTTTGGGCGGGAAGGGCGGTGGGGGGGAAGTTGGGTTGGCACAGAGGAAGGGGTGGAAATATTGAGGGCGGCCGCGGAGCTGCCAGCCAAGCGGCCAGTCGCCGCCGTCGCCGCGCGCCTGCCGCAGCGCCCGCTGCGGCCACCGAGCGTCCCTCCGCCCGTGCCCCTTTCCCCCAACCCACCCACGCAGCTCGCCAACGTGCTGTGGGCGTGCGTCACCCTCGACTGGGCCGACCCCCGCGCCATCGCGCGCCTCGCCGACGCCGCCGCGGCCCGCTCAGGCGGCTTTGAGCCGCAGGCGCTCTCGAACTGCGCCTGGGCGCTCGCGCGCCTCGGCGCGGCGCCGGGCGCAGCGCCCGGCGCGGCGCGGCCGCAGGCGTTTGAGGCGCTCGCGGCGGCGGCGCTGCCGAAGGCGCGCGCGTTCACCGCGCAGGGCTGCGCCAACCTGCTGTGGGCGTTCGCGACGGCGGGGCACCCGCACCCCAAGCTGTTTGACGCGATCGGCGGACAGGTGCGGGGCACGGCTTTTCGGGATCCTGAAGGTCGGGCAGCTTCCTGCGCTCGCGGGAAGCTTCCAGATCGGCGACATGGGTTTGGTGCTGTGCGCCAAGCAGCACCTGGTGTCTCTCTCTGTGCTTGCCGCTCATAGCTCCCATGTTTTCATCAATCCCAAATCACCTCCCCCCCCACAAACACACACACCCGAACCCCCGAACCTCATCGGCGTCTGGACCGAAGGCGGTGCAGCGCATCGACTCGTTCAGCCCCCACAACTGCAGCGTCACCGCCTGGGCCTGCGCCAGCGCGCGCCACTACTCCCCCGCGCTCTGCGACGCCCTCCTGGCCCGCGCACTCGGTGCCAGCGCCGCCGCCGCCGCGCCGTCGGCGCAGCCGCCGGAGGGGGGCGTCGACGGCGATGCGGGAGAGCGCGCCGGCGCGGCGCCGCTGGCGCCGCAGGGCGCCGCCAACCTGCTGTGGGCGCTCGCGCGGCTGGGGCACCCCGTGGCCGGCGGCCCGCACGCGGGCGCGCTGCGGGACGCGGCGGTGCGCCTGATGCCTTCTATGGCGCGCCAGGAGCTGTGCAACTCGGGCTGGGCGCTCGCCGCGCTCGGGCTCATGGACGGGCGCGCGTGGGGCGCGTTCTGCGCCGCGCTCGGCGCTGCGGACGGTGAGGCTCGCGGGCGGACGCCCGCAGTTGCATGCAGCTCGTCGGCGCGGGGACGTCTTGCCTGCATCCTGTCGTCGTGCGCTCGTCTTTCCCTCCACATCATCCTGCCAACAATGTGCTTACGATGCAATGGTGTTGCAAAGTATAAGTGGGGTGTCCAAGCCTGCCGCACCTCGCGAAAACAAACACAATCCACAGGCCTCGCCGCGGAGGACCTGCAGCAGGCGTACCACGCGCAGCTGCTCGCCCAGGCCGCGCGCACCACGCGCGTCATCGACGACCTGCCTGACTCGATAGATGACGTCGTTGCGTCCTCGGGCTCGGACACCTCCCGCGCCGCCGCTGGC